ACCGGTGCCCAGTTTTTATGCATTATTTGGTGACTTCTCTTTGCTTTCCCTTCTTCTTGGGACTTCTTGGAATTGCCCATCTTCTCTCTTAAAGGCCTGCCATGGTTTCAGGGTCCAGATGCACACTTTCATGACTCAATTCTTATACAGCAAGCCCTGGTTATGGGAGCAGGGGCAGTGGGGAGGTGGACGGAGATGGGTGGTACTATTTCATGCTTGTTGAATGCAGGGATTCCTAACCTTTTCAAGGTCACTAACACATTTGAGAATCTGTTGAGAACAATGAGCTCTTTCCTGCAGGAAAACTCACAGAGGCAATATTTTGTGTATTGGAGCCAATAATCTTAGAGAGTTTCAGGATAACCTGGAATGTGACTATGAACTTCCCTATGGACATTTTCTAAGACGCCAAGCCCATCACACGTTATATTTCTGCATCTTCATTATCCAGCATTTCTAACGGCTTGCAATAAGGCACTGTGTCGTGGTGGCAAAGACACACAAACACAGATTTTGGAGCCAGAGACTTGTAGTTCAAAATCTGGCACTGTTTCCATATTAGTTGTGTGATCGTAGGCAGGTTAATTACTCTCCGTTTTCTTGGCTGAGAAATGGAAATGACCACGTTTACCTTGAAGAATTGTCTCAGTGATTAGAGATACTGTGGTAGAATGCACAGCCTGGCACCTAGAGATGTTCTGTAGAGGGAGTGGTTACAATAACACACAGAAACCATTTTGTCTAGTTCTATTTAAGTTAAAAATCCTCGGCCAGGCACGGTGGTTCACACCCGTAATCCTAGCACTTTAGGAGGCTGAGGTGGGTGGATCACAAGGTCAGGAGTTCAAGACCAGCCTAGCCAAGATGGTGAAATCTCGTCTCTACTAAAAATACAAAAATTAGCTGGACATGGTGGTGGGCACCTGTAATCCCAGCTACTTGGGAGGCTGAGGCAGGAGAATCACCTAAACCTGGGAAGCAGAGGTTGCAGTGAGCTGAGATGCACCACTGCACTCCAGCCTGGCGACAGAAC